GGTGTACTTTTTTTTTTTTTGTTACTCTAGTGCAGTGATTTCTAAAACAATTGCTCATGTCCCAGAATGGCTTGCTGGTTCCTCCTCATACTTTATCCTCAAAACTGCTATGTCATTAAGCATATTTATAAACTACAGATGTTAGCATTTAATAATTAAGGCTATAATAAAAATCAAGCAAGAGTCACAGTCACTCTGGTCCCTTGTACTGCAGGGCTCGCCTTTCAGGGTTTGGAGAGTTTGGTTTATTTATTTATTTATTTATTTTGCAGGTGAAGGGAATATTTGTATAGATGTCATAAACCAAAACGACAAGTGTCCCCAAATCCAAAGTTCTGATGCTTGAAAGGTGTTCAGTTTGTACATTGTAGATGTCCACTTTGTGGCAGAGCATGGGAGTCAGGGTGCAGTGGGTTATAAAGTAGAAACAGGTTTTCATTAGAATTAGAATTTCCCTCCAGGTTTCTGTTAGACTTGCGTTTATTGTCCCTATAAGCAGTAGTATTGTGTTAGGGGAGGTGGGAGGGTAACTAGGGTGGTGAAGCCTTCATCTTCCTCCTATATAACGCGCAGCTTTTAGCTACAAAGGCCACACCTCTAACCCAGTATGTGCAGTTCAACTGTGTACTAACCCCTTGCAACTGATTCCTAGTAAATGCTACTGTTTTTATTTAGTGTGAAGACCACCATTGCTTGGTGCATGAAACATTTTTAAAGCTTTTTAATTAAAAGAAAAACAAAAACAAAAATTTCTGATCTTTCAAAGTCACCTCTTTAGATCCCAGTGGAAGGCCCTGAGGTCTCTGATGACTCTGTTTCAGACAAACTATAGTTTGTAATAATTTTTTTTTTTTTTTTTTTTTTTTGAGACCGGGTTTCTCTGTGTGACAGCCCTGGCTGTCCTGGAGTTTGCTTTATATACCAGGCTGGTCTCGAACTCACAGAGATCCACCTGCATCTGCCTCCTGAGTGCTGGGATTAAAGGCGTGTGCCACCATTCCTGGCAGCCAGATGGATAATTAAAAAGAATAGACAGGAAATGTTGGTGAGGATGCATGGGAAAAGGGATTCTTGTTCACTGCTGGTGTGAGTGTAAATACCCCCATTATGGAGGTAAAGTGACATTTTGTCACTATTAAAAACACTGTTATATGCCTAAGATGTACCTCTCCTGGGAAAGACCGAGGACTCTGAACCAGCCTGGATGCCCATCGGCAGATGAATGGGTAATAAATGTGTGTGTGTATAAACAGACTTTACTCAGCTGTAAGAAAGTGCAAATGAAACGGAAAGGAAATCGAGGCATCTAGAAAGTATTCAAACATTTTAAATATTTATTGATGTGCATGAGCATTTTGCTTGGCTCTTGTGGAGGCCAGAGGAGGGTGTTGGGTCCCCAGTAACTGGAATTGTAGGTTATTGCGAGCCATCATGTGGGTGCCGAGAGCTGACCACAGTTGTGCCGGGTCTGTTGTGGAGTTTCTGACTAGACCCGTGTTGGTAGGTGTGGGAGAGCAAGCATGGCCGGGGTGTCTGATGGTGTGGGAAGGACGTGGGCAGGAGTGGGAGTTGTTTCCCCAAGGCGGAAATCACAGGTTTAAAAAGTTACCATTTCTTCTTATTTTACATGTTGATCCCAGTTCGTTCCCTCTCCCTCCTCCCCTCCCTCCCATCCCCCCCCACCTCTTCCATCCCATCTCTCCCCACTCCACAGGGAGGGTGATGCCTTCTAAAAGGAATCATCAAATCTGCCAAGTCATTTGGAGTAAGGTCTAGGCCCTCCCTCCTGCCTCTAGGTTAAGGGAGAATCCCTCCATGGGGAATGTGCTCCCATAGTCCTTTTCTGCTCCAGGGATACATCCTGGTTCCACTGTCAGAGGTCCCTTAGACTGCCCAGGCCTTCTAACTGAGACCCACGTTCAGGGGGTCTGATTCGGTCCAATGCTGGTTTCCCAGCTGTCAGTCTGGGGTCCATTAGCTCCCCCTTGTTCAGTCAGCTGTCTCTGTGGGTTTCTGTAGTCTGGTCTTGACCCCTTTTCTTATCACTCCTCCCTCTCTGCATCTGGATTCCAGGAGTTCTGCTCAGTGTTTAGCTGTGGGTGTCTGCTTCTGTTTCCATCAGCTGCTAGATGAGGGCTCTATGATGGTGGATGAGTTAGTCATCAATCTCATTGTCAGGGAAGGGCATTTATGGTAGCCTTTCCATTGTTGCTCAGACTGTTGGGGTCATCCTTGTAGGTCTCTGGACATTTCTCTAGAGTCAGTTTTCTCTTCAAACCTATACTGGCTCCCTCTATTATGGTATTTCTTTTTTTGCTCTCATCTATTCGTCCCCCGACTCAATCTTCCCAGTCCCACATGTTCTCCTCTCCCCCCTTTTCTTTCTCCTAGTTCCCTCTCCACTCACTCCCCACCGCCACTCCCCATGTGCTCAGGAGATCTTGTCCCTTTCCCCTTCTGTGAGGGACTTTATATGAATCTCTTAGGTTTCTCCTTGTATCCTAGTTTCTCTGGCAGTGTGGATTATAGTCTGGTGATCCTTTGCTCTATGTCTAAAATCCATATATTAGTGAGTACATGCCATCTTCCTCTTTTTGTGACTGGGTTACCGCACTCAGGATGGTTTCTTGTAATTCCATCCATTTGCCTGCGAATTCTAAGATTCCATTGTTTTTCCCCCGCTGAGTAGTACTCCATTGTGTAAATGCGCCACATCGTCTTTATCCATTCTTCAGTTGAAGGGCATCTATGTTCATAGCAGCATTATTTGTAATAGCAAGAACCTGTACCAACCTAGATGCCCCTCAATCACGGCTTTATGGTGGTAAAAAGAGAGGGCCACGTGAGCAGGGCACGCCTCAGCCCTGCCTGCTTGGGCTGACACTGCTGTGCAGGGATGTAGCCGCTCTTCTGCTCCTAGGTGCTAGCTCTTTGCAGCACACTGCAGTGAGCTCAGCAAGGCTCCCTCCCTTCATTTACCCTGAAGTGCTGTGGCCCTGGGTTTAGCATGAACAAGAGGCTAGGCGGCAAGGCCACGTTTCCTTTCCTGCAGCGTTGGTGCCCATTGGAGGCCTGCCCTTTTCCCAATGGAAACTGAGAGGTAGATGGGATGTGTGTCAGGCTGAGGGGAGGCGGGGCGGGGGAGTAGGGGGAGGGAGGGAGGGGAAATAAAGTAAAAATCAGTGTAAGGAATACATGGCATGGGGTTGAGATTGGCCCTCTTTTGCCTGGGACTTTTAAGTCCTTAAAAACAGAGTCACTAGAGGGTCAGTGTCTTCAGGGAAGCCTGCCTGGGTTGGATACCGGTTCTTAGTGGTGGGCGTGAAGGTAGTTTTAGCTGGTCCTGACATTGTGGGGTCTCTGGTCCGCAGTCCCTGGGGGCTTCTAGGCACATTACTCAGCCTCTGTCTCCCCTCAGGGTTTTTTTGTTTTTTGTCATTGTGGGAGTAAACATAACTTTGTTTCTTTACAGCCTAATACAGAGAGTATGCCTGAAGTTAAGTATTTTACTGTAAACTGTCAACTTGAATCTTTTTTGAATAATATTCTTACATTTTAGGTCTTTTTGTTTGTTAAGAGATAGGGTTTCACTCTGTAGGCTTGGCTGTCTTGGAACTCACTCTGTAGACCAGGCTGGCCTTGAACTCACAGAGATTTGCCTACTTCTGCCTGGAATTGAATGTGTGCACTACCTTGACCAGCCTGAATAATATTTTATTCTGAGAATTTCATACTGTTGAATTTTAAACAAATTCATAGCCTCTCCCAAGCCTCCCCTATAGTTACTCTCTCCACTCTCCCATCCCTCCTCATCCAGTTTCCAAGTTTCTTCACCCTCCCCCCTTCCCATCGAGCCCAGTTTGTGTTGGTCAGCTAGCTACCCAGGCATGTCAGTGACTTGTGAGGGGTCACAGCAGTAGAGACAGCTGACCCTCCCTCTCCCACAGCTGTCACATGCTATTAGATCCCATCACAGCGAGTGATACTATACGGCCACTTTCCCTGGCTATGCTGCCGAATCCTCAGATCTGATTTGTGCAGTATTGTGCACGCGGTCACAATGCTTTTGAGTGTACAACTAACTGCGCTTTGCGTCCACGGTTCCGTCTCTTACGGTCCTTTCACCCCTTCATGAAGACCTCCAAGCTCGGGTTCACTGTAAGGGGTGGGGTGCACACTTGAATGCTCACCCAGCCCTTGGGTAAGCCAGGAGGGCGGAGGTCCAGGCCACTTGAACTCAGCGGGAACTTCATGTCAGGAAAAACGAAACAAAACATGCTTAACCTTCCATAGGACATGCTGCTAACACAGGTTTCCGAATCCTGGATCCTTTGCCTCCTTGCTTCAGAGGCAGGGTTTTCTGACCACCTGCTGAGTGCAGGGGTTGCATGCTTACCTGGCTGGCCTGCCTGGTGCACCCTGGGTCAGCAGTTTCTGGGGCCACACCCTCTAGACACAATGATTTCTGTTTGAGGCTAGGGCTAGTGGCTCAGGCTGACCAAGACCTCTTTATGTGATAGTGGCCTTGAACCCCTCCTCCTGCTTCTATCTCTTGAGTGCCCAGCTTGTGGGTTGTGTCACCATGTCTAGCTTTAAATTGGAAGGGACAGCCCTGTTGATGGCTGCAACAGTGATTTTGAAAGCTCATAGGCTTTCTGCCATCGTTGGGTGTGTAATGTCTTATTTATCCTGGAAACTGGAAAAAATTACTTTGACTTCATGTAGTTAACTACCTAGAGAAATAACTAAAGGAAAAAATGCATTTTAAAATTTCTCAATGACCTCAAAAATGGTCCACATGATTTTTAAAAGTCTTATAAGTGTATACATATTTGATTTATTTAACAAAGGAAACATTTTGTTTTATTGAAAAGACTTGTATTTGTATCATTTGAATGAAGCATTAAGATCTTCCGTTTTGCCATTTTTTTAAAATGTAGCACTAAATATGTATAAATGTTGTTTTGTTTTCTTTGGATGCACCAGAATTGTGTATCATTAAGCATTGGTATATAAAATTAAAAGATGTCTAGGATATTCTTAAAGTACGTCTGGGAATTATAACAACTGCAAGGCAAGATGCAGGCTGTTTAAGTGACGTAGTGGGGACCTTCTATAGATGAAAGCATTAACTAAGGCGATGCTAGGGAGGCCCTTTACCCTGTTTAAACACTTGTTATTAGAACTGTGTTCACGTAGAAATACTCACACTTTTTGCCGTTTGGTGCGACTGTGAGTAGTGGTCAGCAAGCTAACCCTGGAATGCTGTGGTTGGCTGGAGTATTGATGACTCGTATCAGCTCTGTCTCAGAAAGAGGAGAGGTGCATGGCTGTCTGAGCTACTTTTCAGTTGAAGTGATAAATCACCACACTCAAAAACAACTTCAGGAAGAAAGTTTATGTTGGCTTACAGTTGCGGAGGCTTCCAGAAGGTCAGGGTCTTTAATGGTAGGGAAGGCAGGCCAAAGCAGGAAGCTGGCTGACTACATTTTTGTATGTACCCGGGACGGGGCAGTTAGAGGAGCAGGAAGTAGGTCAAGGTTATAGCTGTCACCTCTCTCTATAACTCCTTCAGAAAGGCTGCACCTCCTAAAGGCTCTGTGACCTCAAACAGCGCTACAGCTGGGACCCAGGGCTCACATGTGTGAGCCTGTGGGGACACTTGCATGCAAACTACCAAGTAACGGCATGCTTGATTTCTGCAGTTTTGTAGCGCTAGAATTTTGGTAACATTTTCCTTGCTGCTTTTAGATATCTTCGTAGTTATATATGGCAAATGCTGTGTTGGACTTGGCTACATAGACTTACTTCCTTGTTTTCCAGTGTTATAATCTCCCAGTTGTATGGCTTTTATAATGCCTAATGCATAGAAAACAGAATTGTGTTAGGCACCTGATAGTATTAACATTTTTCTTTCAGATTATCTGCAATGCTGGAATGAAGTAACTCAAGATGAGCAAGCTAAAAGTGGTAGGAGAGAAAAGGTACCGCAGCCTTGATATGTGTGAATACTGATGTGTGTGATGTGCAAATAATATATATATATATCACAGTTGTTGGGACTGACTAAATATGTATGTTGTGTAGTGGCATGTTGTGCATATTTTATTAATACTTAACTTCTCAGACTTAGCTAGTATACAATCCAGTGGCTCACTCCAGTGTTTCTAGTGAACGAAGAACGGTTTTACATTTTTTAAATAGTTTGAAGTGTAGTACATTTTGGCATGTGAAATGATGGGAAACTCAGTTGACATTTTTATTGTGGCCCAGCCCTGCCTGTTAAGTTACATAGTGTGGGTGGTTCCTAGCCCTACAGGAAAGTTTAAATACCTGAGGCTAGAAAGCACAAGAGGTCATTTTTGTTTTTGTTTTTTTTTTTTTTTCTACTTAAAAGTCAGACATGCCTTACTGATTTTAGATTAGCTATACAATTTTGAAACAGATGGATTTTGTTGTGCCTGTTTTCTCCACTGTGAAATTATTTTAGTATTAATGTTATATGGTGCCAGTGGCTAAGTCGTACCTTGCTGGGAAAGTAAATTACGCCTTCCTAACACTAATGATAATCAAGGGTTCTACTTTACAGGCAATATTGTGGTTTATGTTTTGATGTATATGGCTTCGCTTTTATAGATACTATGTTATGAAGCAGAAAATGTACAACTTATTAGATAATGTTTATTTCTTAAATTGTTAGGTTTTCTTGCTATTTACCATAATAAATTGCACTATTTCATTAACTGTATAGTTTCTACAGGAAGGTGGTTAGAATAACTTTTTTTAATATTATAATGCACCCTCTCTCTTCTTCCCTCCATCCCTTCCTCTCTCCCTCCTTCCTTTTTCCTTTGTTCACACAGATATGCATGATATGTGTGTGGGGGCCATGAATGTCATATTGTGCATGTGGAGATCAGAGGACGACCTTTGGAAGTCAGTCATTTCCTTTGTGTGGGTTCTGGAGATTGAACTCAGGTCACTAGGCTTGTGTGACAGGTGTCTTTATGTGGAGAGCCAGCTCACTGGCCCCAAGCCTTACTTTTTCTGAACAGTCAAACAACTAACCTGTTTTGCTACTAACTAGTTAATTTGCCTATACTTTTTGGAACCCTGCTCATACAGTTTATAAACCTCAGGCTCTTCATGTTAGTCTGTTTTTGCATCCTGAAATAAATTGTACTAGATATTTATTGTTTGTTGTTTTAGGGTAGTTAGCCACTATGCATTTTTACTATGTTAAGGCAATTATTTCTATTAATATTTGTTGCACTAGTTCTTGCATTGCTGTGGTCAAAAAACCTGAGAGGCAACTTGAAGTATTTATTTCGGCTCAAGGCTTTAGGGGTTAAGTCTGTGTCATTGACCCAGTGAACTTGGGTAGAAAACTGTGGTGGTCGGAGCATGTGTTGAAGGAGTGAATCACTTAGATAGGTGTGCACCTGTGAAAATTTACTTGGTGACTTCTAGCTGTTCCCTGTCTCCCATTTCCGCAGTTTTCTCAGGTAGCAGCACCCTCTGGAGACCAGTCATCTACACCATAAAGCTCGTGGAAGCATTATATATTCAAACCATGGCACTTTTCATGGCGCTCGCGAGGGCACAGTGCAGTCGGATGGACTGAGACAGAGAAGGGGCAGGACTTTCAGGTGCTGCTCAGGGCTAGTGACTTCTGCACTTGTGGGTTCAGTGAACCATGGGTCAAAAAGGCCTGATAATGCATTTGGTGTCTGCACTGAGCATGTGCAGACCTTCTTCTTGTCACTATTTCCTCCCTGTAGACTGTAATGAAGACTCAGAAATGACGTAGTGTGTCAGGTATTGTGATCTAGAGATGAGAGGAAGTGTGTGTGTGTGAGTTTGTGTAAGGAAACTGAGTGTGCATGGATCTGATGTCTGTGAAGGTCTAGAAGGTCCTAGAATGTCTGTACAGCATAATAAGATTGACATCTCAAAAAATGTATCCTCCAAAGGCCTGGTTGGGGGAAATAATAATCTCAGGGGCTGTTTTGAATTATTTTTATTGGAATGATACCAAAACCACATCATCAGTTTCCACAGCACTTTGTACTTTCCATACCTCCAGCTGTTGTGCATGCTTTTTTCTTTTTTTATGATTTATTGCACGACCATGCCATGAATCTCCTTAGCACTTGGGACTATGCATATGTATATTATTGTGTGCATGTCTGTGTGTGTTGAATGTACACATGCATGTGCCACGCTGCCCAGGTTAGAGGATACTGTTTAGTGTTGGTGCCTTTTCTCTTGTTTGAGGTAGGTTCATTTCTTCTCTAAAACTGTTAAAAGTAATTCTGTTTTAATATCTATATAAGCTAGGGAGGTTTCCTGTTCTTTCTCATAATTTGTGTATTCTCTGTCTCTCCCTCTTTCTCTTTTCTTGAACAGTTTCACTGGAAGTTTATTTTTTAGTGATTTTTCTTAAAAAAAAATAGCCTTCTGGTTTCACTGATTTGGTGAGGCTTTCTGTCTTTTTTTTTATTTTTTTTATTTTTTTTATTTTTCTGCTTCATTTCTTGACCTTTGCTTACTCAGATTAGCTTTTTTGAAAATAATTTATATTTATTTTATGTGCATTGGTGTTTTGGCCACTGACATGTGTCAGGTCCCTTGGAACTGGAGTTATAGTTGTGAGATGCCATGTGGGCACTGGGAATTGAACTCAGGTCCTTTAGAAGAGCAGCTGGTGCTCTTAACTTCTGAGCCATCTCTCCAGCCCCTTTCAGAGTAGTACACTCCTCTTAAGTTAAAACATATACATTGAAAGCTAAGTGATGATCTCTCTCTCTCTCTCTCTCTCTCTCTCTCTCTCTCTCTCTCTCTCTCTCTCTCTCAGTTGTTGTCGTTTTTGTGTGTGTTTTTTTGGGGAGGGTGTTCAGACAGGGTTACTCTATGTAGCTCTGGTTGACTTAGAACTCCCAGGCTGGCATCACAGTCAGAGAGAGATCTGTCTGCCTCTGCCTCCCCAGTGCTGGATTAAAGGCGTGCGCCACCAAGGTCTGACAATGTATTTCTTCTCAGATTGAACATTTGTTGCTATTAATTTTCTCCTTAACTGCATTACATATCTTATTGATTCTGTTGTTTTGCTTTTATTCAGTTCAAGATTAATTTTATAAAAGACTTATTACTTATGTGTGCATTTTATATATGTGGACGTTTTGTCTGCATGTAGTCTGCACACCAGGAGAGGCCATCTGATTCCATGGGACTATGGTTAAAGATGACTGCCAGCTGCCATGTTGGTGCTGTGCTGGGAACTGAACTCATAAGCTCTGAGCAGCCAATGAGTGGCCAGTGTTCTCTCTCTAGCTCCTTCAAGATTACTTTTAATTATTTTAAATTGTTTCTTTGATCTGTGTTTTAAAGTGCTAATTTCTAGGTATGTGAGGACTTTGAAGTGGTTTTTGCTGGTGTTACTTTAGTATATTTGTGGATTAGAGGATGCGCTCGCTGTCTGGCTGAGCTCTTTTGACACTGTTTAGCTTGCTCGCCTTCCGCTTGGAGCACGCTCCTTCTGGATGACATTGGATGCACACCCTGCTGCTGGGTGCCTGTGAGCAGGGGTCACATTGATGTGTGCTATACCCAGACCCTTCATCACTCTCCTACTTCTGTCTGTTGATATTGGGATCACCATAAATTTGATTTTTCCTCTGTTCTATAAATTTTGCTTCATAAACTTAGAAAGTATTATTTTTTTTAAGACGTATCAAGGATTGATCATTACAAAATGTCCTTCCCCCCCCCTTAAGTCTATTTTTTTGATGTTAATGTAGCCACTCTGGCTTTTTGAAACAATTAGAATTAACACCTATACATACATACATACATACATACACACACACACACACACATACATACACACAATTACATACATACATATACACACAATTACATAATACATACATACACACATATATACATACACACATACATACATACATATACACATACACAAATACATATATACACACATACATACATACACACATACATACACACATACACACATACATATGTACACATACATACACACATACATACATACACACATACATATATACACATATATATACGTACATACATACACACATACACACATATATACACACATACTTATATACACACGTACATACATAATACACACGCACATACATACACACATACATACATATGTACATACATACACACATACATATACACACACATATTCATTATCTTTATTTAAAAAGTTTTATTTCATGCATATGTGTGGGTATCTGCCTGTACCATGTGAATGCCTGGGCCCTCCGAGGTGAGAAGAGGACATTGGATTTTCTGGACTGGAGTTACAGTTGTGAGCAATTCTGTGGACTCGGGAAAGGCAGCAGTACGCTAACCACTGAGCTGTCTCTCATCCCCTCATTGTTTTATTTTTAGTCTACTTTTTCTTCAAGGAAATGTTCTTTTTATTCTGTTATTTTAAAATATATTCTACTTTTGAAATTAGAATATAGTTCAATTACATGTTTTTCCTCTTTCCATTCATCACTCCAACCCATTCCATGTGACTCTACCATGTTCTCTCTCAAATTCATAGCCTCTTTTTTAGTTGTTGACATACATTCCTAAATATGTAAATATAGCCTGCTTAGTCCATATAATGTCACACACACACACACACACGCTCGCGCACACGCGCACACACACACCAAAGACACGCGCGCGTGCGCGCACACACATGCACACACACATACACACATGCTCACGCACACACGCACACACACACACCAAAGACACACACATGCACGCATGCACACACACACATACACACACGCACACACGCGCACACACGTGCACGCGCACTTCAGGGCTGACCACTTGAGACTGGATAACCAGCTGAGGGCTCTTTCAGGTGAGGCTGTTTCTTCCATTCTCGCCGTCCTTAGTTGCCCGCAGGTCTTTGTCTAGGGTTGGAGAC